CACACAATACTTCTCAAATATCCTATCTCAAATAGCCTATCAAACGTAGTCATAAATATCTCCTAAATAATTCCACGTTTAAATTTCTATCTCATGAACAATTCAATAAATACAAGTAAAAATATTAAAGCCTACAACAACAAGAACTGCACGCCGAATTGCTTTTCCGGACTTATAAACACAATTAAACTACCGTAATAATGTCATGAATTCAATTAAATTGACAAGCAAATTTTTAATAATTTTGATGCTCAATCCAGTATCGTATTAAAAAAATGTTAGTGTGCTGAAAAACTGTAAATAAATTTATTGCAAAAATTACCTCGAGAGTCGAACCCGGATCTTTTGAATTTCATACGAACGTCCTAAACCTTTAAACTACCAAGACTAATAAATGTTTTAAAGATCAGAGAAATATCTACTTACAATTTGAGTATTTATGTTCTCAATATAGCTTATTAAAATATTTTTTAATATCTCTTTTTGTAGGACGAAATAGATGAAATGAGTGGTGAATTTGGAGATAATGTGAGCACATCTAGTCGACGGAAAAGTATAGTCATTGTGGATGATGGCAATGTGAGCAATAATTTTTTATATATGTAGCACTTTTAATTATTTATTAATTATAAAATAGGGTTATTTAATGATTATTTTTAGTAATTATTTATTAGTTTAAATATATATATAAATTTTTTACATAATTTGATATAATTGCTAAATAAATTTCATTTATTCTTATATGTATTTTAATAGGTGTCAGCATTGCCACCGGAAGAAAAAGGATCTTCCAAACATACTATTAATCCAATGCACATGAAGGCTCTTATCTGGAAAAACTTTTTATGGATGTGGCGAAATGTCGGGTAATCAAATTCGTTTAATCACATTTCTCAATATATTAAATTTTCTTTCACTTCTTAGTTTATTGTCTAACTGTAATTTTTCATCTCTCATTTTCATCTTACAGAATGATGTTATTTATCATTGGTTTACCAGTCGCCCAAATAGTCCTCTTTTGCATCTCCATTGGTAAGGATCCTATAGGATTAAAATTAGCCATTGTCAACTACGAACTCAACAACAGTATGCAACCGTGCATTCCTTCTGGACCCGGATGCGATTGGTCGCTATTAAGCTGTCGATATCTTCAGCACTTACAGAAAAAAACTGTACAGTTATTACCCTACAACAGTGATGAAGAAGCCAGAAATGCAGTGGTAAAGGGATGGGCATGGGGTGCTATAACGTTTCCATCCAACTATTCCGAAGCTCTCATGGCAAGGATAGATTTCGGCAGAGATGCCGAGGAATGGGACATTAATTTCTCGGAGATGGAAGTTATCATGGATATGTCTAGTAAGTCTTTGAACATGAAATAGAACGAAATAATTTTTGATATTTTTATGTAGCATTCTAAATGTTGCATTTTAAAAGACTCAATCTTGAAAAACATCTTCCGATAATTGAGATAAAAAAAAAATTACATAATTTTTATTTGAGTGTTCTGAAACGCGTATTACTCTAACACAATATACCTTCGCAGATCAACAAATAGGCCAGTTATTACAAAAGGATCTCTTATACGCATATCTGGATTTTGCTAAGGAAGTTACTGTGGCCTGCAACTATAGCGAGAAGTTAACGAGCATACCCATAAGCGTAAGTAAACAATTATGGGAGTGTTCCGATATTCATTGCCAGTACTGAAAATTTATAGCGCACGTAACGTATACTGTATAGTTTCAGCATTGGCAGTGAATATCGGAACGCACCCTATGTTAATATGCCCATATAGGATCGCCAGCAGTTACAACAAAATTAACTTGACGAACGCTACACGACTGTCAACTGACGGCCAAGATCCTATCAGCCAGTACTGGGCCATCATTGGTAAATAACTGGCTAAAAATTGGGCCCAATACTGGGATCATCCATCCAGTACTGCATCAGTAGTTTGCCAATACTGCGTCTAGTATTTCTTGTCGAGAATCCTTTCCTGAGAAATTCTTGAAAAAAATAATAAATTTAAATTTTACACTTCTCGAGAAATCAAAAATTGTATTCTGAATTATTGCTGGTATGAGAACTTAAAGCTTGGAACAACTTTTCCATGCATTGTGTACCATTAAATCTACTTTTATGCAAAATGAGCTCAATTTTTCCATTGCAAATGATTTTGTAAAAAAATTATTTCGACTGGCTAACGTAACATGAAATGCTCTTCCAGTTTTTTTTAAGGATATTTCAAACCACAAAAATAACTTCTAGAAAAGAGAATAAATAAAATCGTTTAAATTTATTTTAATGATTCATAATTTATGAGAGCACAAATATTTTAATTTTTATATAACAATTGTTAGTTAAAAACAAGTAATTTTTCTTTTTTAGAAAGTTTTTTAAAAAGTTATGCATTTAAATTAATTTATGAAAAATTATTTGAGTACTAATGTATTTTATTTCTTATCTATTAAGTATGTAATATACTTAATAGTATAATTATAATATGTACTATATATTTCTATATAAATTTATTGTATATGTATAAGTATTAATATAAAATACAAACATGTAATTAATTGTAAGAGTTAAATCATGTTTCCTTTTATTATATACAATTTTTTGAGATTTCTCGAGAAATCTTGTAAAATTAAAATTGCTCTATTAAATCTACAGTGTCAAATTTAATTATCGTTTTAGTATAAAATAACAATATATTTGGTAGGAATAATTCACATAAAGTTAAATTTGACACTATAGATTTAACAGTGTATTTCTCTTTTTCTATAAATAAAAAATGTCGAGAAATCAGAAACACTAACTGCGCCAGTGTCTGGACACTGTGGCAATCAGTAATGGCCCAGTACTAGACCGATTATAAAACTGTATATAGAAGTAGAGATAATGTTTTGTCTAATTTTTATCACTATGCATAGCGTTTTAATATTATAATTATCTTACTCTAATTATCTTATTCTAATTATATTTACAACAATTTATACATATCTTGTTATAATTGTTACGTTAGTTTAAAACGCCAATCTTCGGACCTTATAATCCTAACTTCACGGATTTTGCAGCGCCCGGAGTGATTCTAACGTAAGTATATATTTACCTTAACGTCAACATAATACAATAATGTACATATACATTAAATTTAATTGTTTCTTTCAAGAAAAATTTGTTAGCATTAAAAGAATTCGTGTTTTTTCAGAATTATTTTCTTTCTCTCAGTCGCATTGACGTCAGGCGCTATGCTGCTAGAGAGAAATGAGGGTCTGTTAGAAAGAAGCCTTGTATCAGGTCTGTATAAAAAAAAGAGAAAAATATTAAAAACCGTAATAAGTAAAAGATGTATTCCGATCCTAGATAAATCTTAGATAGATAAATCTTGTGATATACACATATCTGCTGGAAATTAATACATCTTGAAATTGATAAATAATTAATTTTGTAATCTTATACAGGCGTTACTGGTACGGAGATTCTCTTTGGTCAAGTAATCACGCAATTCACGGTAATGTTCGGGCAAGTTGTGATGGTCCTCATAGTCTCATTCGCGATCTTCAAAGTCACTTGTGAAGGCGACATCGGTTGGATCACCGTATTAATCACCCTTACAGGCCTTTGCGGCATGTGCTTCGGTAATCCGTTCATTATCTTAAGATTGAATTGCGTGAAGTATCAAATCCCAAAATTTTCTTACATAAAATTTTTTATAATTATTATATTTAAATGATATAATTCTTTTGCAAAGATGCACTCAATTTTTATTAAATGTTCGCGATTATTATCAAGTTACAATAATTTTGTAAAAACATAAAAAGAAGATTTTATGTAAGAGATTATGAAAAAAGTGTTTTCTTGTTAAAGAAAACGTAAAAACATTATACTATACTTTTGTTGATTACATATACTTTGTTTCTTCAAAAATTATTCGAAAATAAATTTAATTTTCAGGATTTGTAATCGCCTGTTTCTGTGACAATGAAAGGAGCGCCACATACGTGGCGATGGGTTCTTTTCTTCCAATTGTGATGTTGTGCGGCATTATCTGGCCCATAGAGGGCATGCATCCCTTTTTGAAATATATTAGTTTTTTACTACCCCTAACGAAGAGCACAGATTCGATGAGATCAATGCTGGCCAGAGGTTGGACGATATCAGAACCGTCTGTTTATTACGGCTTTATCTCTACTCTCATCTGGATCAGCATTTTCATGAGCTTGTCGATATTGCTAATTAAATTTAGGAAGGGTTAATTTAAAGAAAATAATTTTATATATATTGTATAAAATGGAATTCACCAAATCTCTTTATATAAACTGTAATTTAATAAAGTTAAATAAATAAAATAATTCTAATTGTTATACATATTTAGATATCACGTACAATCTAATTCATGTAAAATTAAATTAGATTTCAATTTATTTAAATAAAAATATGTTGAGAATTTTAAGCACGACCGTACATGTAAATACATCAAATA